TGTTACTTATTTCAAATTTTGTAAAACTTTGACGAATTTTTGATTAACAAATTCAATGATTTCAAAGCAAGCAATGGCAACACTAAGAGGGGGAAAAAAGCATTTTTATCTCCATCGCCCGAGACCGTGTATCGGAAATTCTCAAGATATGCTTTTTACTTCCTTGTATGAAGTAAAAAGAAAGTATTGTAATCGCAAAAAGTTTCAGGCAGCATATTTCAACGAAAATATCCCATTTTGACCTCTTTTAAATGCAATTTAACGATGTATTTCCGTGATATGTGTATGTAAGGACAAAATAAAAGACTTGTTTCCTCCAAAAAAATTATAAAACTGCTTTAAAATGAATTCCGAAGAGAATTTTTTATGGCGTCTGTACGACGTATGTGCGTACGTACGTACGTATCTCCATAACTCAAAAACGAGTAGCCTCAGTTTTATTTGCTTAATTTCTTTTATACATCATTCTAGCTTTATTATAGTATTTGAATAGAACATGTGGCAACGATTAGATAATTTTATTCTTTAAATGATATAAATTTTGTGCATTATGAGTTATAATATGAACGAAATATAATACTGTTAAGTGAATCTAGTGCCAGAGTGTCGCTATGGTAAACAAATACTAGAGTGAATTTTAAAGAATGCATTTATTCTATTGTGGTTTATGCGCTGTCGCCGAAGCAGATTTAATTCAATCCAATAAGTTTAAATGAAATACAAGAAAAATGCATATAATTTAATATTCCGTACAAGGAAGTCATGTGGATTTTTTAAAATTATTTTTGTGACATTGCTGTTGAATTTCATGTAGTTTAAGTGTGAAGAACTTGATATTTAATAAATATATTTAACACACAAAACGTTGAAAAAAACGCCCCTTTGGATGTAATATAAAATCTGAAAGTTTTCAGATTTTCTTTTTTTCCCTTTCAAAACATGAAAAGCGAAAAGTAAAGAGTAAAACTTTCTCATTGGATATGTAATAAACAGGCATATCCACTTACAGAAAAGAGGACAGAAACCTGCTCGATTTTTTCGGTTATCCCGATAGCATGAGATCCCGTTTAGTTCAGATATTTGGAGTTCTATATGTTTTTATACAAGATATTGCTTCAAAAAATATCTTCCTCTCTTCAATAATGAAATAATAACAGTTAAAAACTAAACCGAGGAAGAAAACACAGCAAGCCGTTATGAAACATAAACATTTGCAACGGAAGAATATTTTTTCACCATAAAATCAGATAAAGCAACGATCTTGTGTTTCGCATAGATTTTAATTAAGATTATATCGATTTCAACGGCGACCAGGTACAGGTTCCTCTTCATGGGAGCAAAGAAATCTGTAAGGAAAGAAGCTACAGCCGTTTTTCAATTCGTTCGGCTTCTCCTTTCGTTGCAGATTTCTTTACTGCTGATGAAGAAGGACTCGTACCTGTTCGCTCTCGAAATTCAAAGACTTTTAATTAAAATTTGCCCCAAACACAAGGATATTGCTTTGCTTAATTGTTAATTAATACTTTGGAGTGTTGCCATTCTCTCTTGATTTTTTTTCCCAGAGATATAAAAATTATTTCAGTAGAATCAAATGAATTGATTCGAATCGTATCTGACACATTAAGTACACATAGGACTTGATTTCTAAAATTCTCCGAAGCCTAATGGAAAACGGTCAGGAAAGAGGAAGAAGAATAAATAAATAAATAAATAAAATGACTAATAAAATCATTAATAATTAAGCAAAATCTTTTAAAAATTTGAAAGTTTTCAGACTTATATTATGCCCAAAGGCGCGTTTTTTCAGTTACATAAACATACGCGTCTCGAGAGCATTTGGACTAAGGTTCCTTTGGGCTAAAAATATTTATAAACAGTCTATGTTTAGAATTTCCGTAGACAATCTCACGCGCTGCAGATAATTCCCCCCCCCCTCCCCCGTAAAGGGTTGCCACTGCTCGCTTTGAAATAGTTGAGTTTGTTAATAAAAAATTCGTTAAAGTTTCGCAAAATTTGAAATACACAATAAACTATTTAAAAACAGCCTATCTTTAGAATTTCCGATAGACATTCTCGCGCGCTGGAGATAAGAATGTTTTTTCCCGTACACTGTTGCCATTGCTCGCTTTGAAGTTTTTGAGTTTGTTAAAAAATACGAAATAGACAATAAAACAAAATTCAAATTCCAAAATCGGTGTCCATATTCGGGTGGAGGACAACGTTATTCCAAATTTGGTAGCTCTAAATTAATGATTAAAGTAATTAAATAATAAAAAAATAAAAATCTGAAAGCGTTCACATTTTACTCGTATATTAGGCGAAAGGGGAGTTTTCAAACGTTTCGTGTGTTGCCTTTTTAACTTTTGTGTTTTATGTTTTGTGAGAAGAACAATGTTCTCGCGTCTGTTCTCCGCACTTAAACCATAAAATCCCATTCAACAGCAATATTGCAAAATATTTAAAATAATATACATTCTAAATGTTTAAGTTGTTATTATCTTTAGAAGTTGCCCGTAGTGTTGCCATTGTTCGCTTTGAAATCGTTATGAAATAGATAATAAAGCAAATTCCAAATTGGGGCTTCCAGATGCCCATATTCGAATGGAATACTACCGTTATTCGAAATTTTATGCCTCTAGGTACCGTTGTTCTTTCACAATACCAGAAACATATACACACATTCATGTAGATTTTTCCGTATTTAATTTCTTTAAATATAATGAAGGGTTCTAATATTTGGTGACATCAATTTGAAAAGTGAACCGTCAACAGACGCAAAATGCCAAAACGAAATTAATAGCCCTTCTGTGCAAATTGGCCCTTTGGGAAATTTAAGTTAATGTAATGACATAAAATTCAATAAGCGATTTTTAATATAATTTTATCCCCAAAAATAAAATTTTCGAGATCAGATTTCTACTGAAATTGTTGTTCAATTACATAAAATAAGTGCCGGAGGCTTCCGGCTAGAATTATGATTATTTTCCCAAAGAGTAAGAAGCACAGGAGCCAAACTCGGAAGTGCTAGCTACGAGTACACATAAACTTTTTTATAGTAATTATTAATACGGTACAGAAGCAGGAAATATAAAAAAAAAAAAAAAATATCTGAAGCATTTTTCACAATGAGATTTCCTTTTACAGACCTTTGTTAAGCAGTTTCAGATAGGACAGATTAGACTCGCAGTAATTTTTGTGGATAACCGGCTCCAAGGTCACTGCAGGACAAACATTCGAAACCTCCCCCGCTCACACCTTCAAAATGACAAATAATACTGCACGAAAGCAGGAGAAGGATTGCGTTATCACCTGCAGGCGCACGTTCTGGCGTCTGTGCATTGCATCAGATTTTAAATAAAACTCCGAAGGTTTATGATACAGTTTAGAACTTCTAAAATGCACCCACATATTTCTATGTTTTTATATCTCCGCCCCATGTCAAATGAAATGCGTCGAATTTCCGATCGTATTTTTTGTTTGAAACCGGAACAGCTTTTAATCTTCCAAATAAATTCGCCATATAAAGAAAATTATTTTAAGTGTATTGTAATACATGTTACCACATACAGAAATTTTTTTAAGCGCTTCACAAACATTCTGTGTTTCTTATATCTGTTTTTGAACAGGACGGCAAAATGTCTAGCGTCGACTTGGGTTAGATGCATTGTACCTAAAAAGTGACATCAATATCTAGATAAAAAATGTAATGTTCAATTTTTTTTTCGATAAATATCTTTTGAATTAATGTAGATCTAATTTTATCCGACGCAATAATAATCTAAGTTCTTGTGTGATTAGTAATGATTATATAGAAAAACGCATCTGTGATGCAAACAGTAAAATCTTCACGAAATTTTTATGTTTTATAAATTTCAGTTCCTAAATGAACTATTACTTTTTCAATAGTGAATTGTTCTCTATTTTAAGATTCTAATTTTTTTTTTAAATCTTTCAAACAAACAAAAAATACGATTAAAAAATTCTGAAAGCTTTCAGATTTTATATTACGGCCGAAGGGCCGTCTTTTTTTAACGTTTTTGTGCGTTACCTTTATTTATTAAACATTATATTCTTCGCACTTTAACCATAAAATTAAAATTCAACAGCAATGCCACAAAATGTTTAAAAGAGCATATCTTTAGAATTTCCGATACACAGTCTCGGTCGCTGGAGGTAATTTTTTTTTCCGTACAATGTTGCCATTTCTCGCTTCGAAATCGTTGAGTTTCTTAATCAAAAACTCAGAGTAAATGCTTTACAAAATATGAAATAAATAATAAAACAAATTCCAAATTTGGGATTCCGGATACCCATATTCGAGTGGAGAGGTACGTTATTCAAAATTGGATGGCTCTTGGTACCGTTGTTTTATCACAATGCGAAACACATACATACATTTATGCAGATTTTTTGTTATTTGATTTCTTTAAATATAATACGGGACTCTTAATATTTGGTGGCAACAATTTAAAAAGTGATTTGCCTTTTATAGTGAATCAACGCAATTAACGCCTTCTGGGCTAAAAAAATTTTTTTTCCTTTAACATGTTTCCTGATTTATTCTTTTATGAATTTGTTTATTACGAATTTCTAAACGAAAAATTTATCGTACAATAACTACAGAATATAAACAATGGAAAAAATTATTTTTTCATATAATTTTCTGAATTAATCAAGGTTTAATCTACTTCAATTAAATAATTATATAGATTCTGTATTTAGTATTAATTTGATACAAAATTAAATTTTCAAAATTGATCGCTATTTAAAAGTCCACAAAATATCGCTTTTTCTGTTTTTCATGTTACCACTTTCCTTCCTTTATTATTTCCCAAAAATAAATAAAATAATAAAATAAAATAACTAAATAATAAGTGCTTATAGCGACATTTCTTTAAAATTCTGAAAAGAGTTTTTCATACTTAAGTCTTCCTTTTCCAAACCAAATTTTCCACAACGTGAACAAATACACGAACAAAAAGTTTGAATTTGCGACTTACTTTGTCTAATGACCATTTTATTACATTGCTCTATTAGTCATATTATTTCGAATAAGCCCTCTTCAACTAAAACGAATATTCCTATTCCTAATTTTAATTTATGCTTGAAATGAATAGATGTTATTAATTTAATAACCAGCATTGCAAACGTTATCTTTTTCACTTTTTGTCCTACTTATTTTTTCTTTCAATACTAACCTTACCCAAAGGTAAGTAAGTACACTGTACTTTAAAAATGCACAATACTACGAGTAGATTACGTGACGTAGAACACGAGCTCTCATCCGCAAGGCACATGCTCGGTAGGGGCAGCGTGGTCGAAAGGAAAATTTCTAAACACAACGCGGGATGTCTAGTCATGTGACCTCAGCTACCCAATCATGGACATATGTTCACGTGCTGAAAGCATGATCGGTACTCGCCGAGTCGTCTATGGAAGAGGTTACCATAAATGAATTCTTTATCGCCGAATTTGGAATTTTTGTATTTAAATTACGCATTTATGAATTGTTATATTAATGCTTTTTAAAAGCTTTGTGCAAGTTTTGTTAGGAATTGATTAAATACATTACGGAAGAATATATCAAAGATGCTTATTTTGATGTCCTTATTAAGTTACCAGACCACTGAATTAAAAGCGCGTTTCAATCAGTAACTGACATAAATGATAATGTGGTTATAAATTCTTTAAAATCTCACTATTCATACTTCTTCGAAAGGTTATATCTGTATGAGAACGGATTCAGATAAAAACTGGACGGAAGGATAACTAAAGAGACGAAGAAGTATACCACCCTGCCTATGCAAATGCATTGAAGGGAAGCTATGCTTAACACATTCAGATAAGGAAATTTAACTCTCTTTAGCTTTTTTTCACATGATTTGTGTATATAAACCAAGTTTACTTCAATAGCTCGGTTTACACATCTGATTTTCTTATTTCTCTGATACCAAAAACTGTAACAAGAAAGAAGACGAAAAAGTTATTTTAAAATTAAATATTTAAAATTGGCAATATTAATTGTACTGTCTTGCTTTGGATTCTAAATTTAGTCGTATTAGCTGTTAGAGGCCTTGTCCGGTAAGTAAAATACACTAATAAAGCTATAAGATCATTTCACGTTTAGGATTGTTTAGAATTGTTTGGCAGGATTATGTTATCAGTTGGCGATTTCCGAAGTTTTTACTCCGGCAACCCTGAAAGTTAATGTGTTACGTTTCTGTTCGACATAGTAAGCGCGTAATCGGCTATTTCGATTTGTGGTTGTAGTGAAAAGTGAGGAATCGTGGAAATTTGTTCTGTTACTTACTCAAATATAGTTTATCTTACTTAGATGGCATGTCGCAGTATCACACCATAGTTCATCTTGTTGCTGGAGGGTAAGAATATGTATTTGTTTGGTTTCGTTGTGTTGGATGAACTCGGGGGAAAACTGATTTGTGTACGAAAGCGATCCGTACGTAACATGCAAGAAATTTAGTATGGGTAATTCAACCTCACCTTACTAAGGGACTTGGTAAATCAACAACGTTTTCTAAAATATATCTGGCATGATTTCTCAGACTGTCATACTCTTTTTCTCCCTTCTTTCAGACTTTAAAGATTGTAAGATTACGGTAAAAATTTCAAATCTCCGTACTACCTAGTGAAACAAAATCTATATTTGCATTTTTGCGTTTAATTTCTACGTTTATCGAAACTGACAATAGCTACCCAATTTTGAATGCCGAGGCCGTGTTACCTAAATAGTGTTTACGATTAAATAGTATTTACAATTAACACTATTTAGGTAGCGCGCGTAATTTGTTAATTTAATATCCATAGCGTTGTTTCATACAGTATATTAAAAAGAAAATTCATCATCTCTTGACCAAGAAAATGGCATACATATATAAAGATCATTTTTTAAAACATCTTTTACGAAATGTTTACATCAGCTGGTTTATGTAAATTTGTTTTAAAGGGGCATTTAATTGATGTAAATTTCGTTTAAAGATGGCATTTAATTGCTAAACTTTTCAGTTAGTAGCATTATAACAGTAACTGTATATGAGTAATCATAACATAATCGGTAACATTTCATAATTTTTTATAGATATTTTTGTTATTTTATCATTTTGAAGTTGCTGCTTATTGCTTGCAGTTTTGGGATAGTTATAAGTTATTTAACTTTTATTGCATTAAGCAATAAGATCTGTATGTTATGAATATTTTTATATTCTATTATGTAATGTTGAAGGATAGAATTGTATGTCAACTTCTATCATTTTTGCCACCCCTTAAGTCAATTGAAATTGCTAAATATGGTTGTTGCTTCTTTTAGGGTGGCGAGATATGCATGTTGCCTTTCATGTAGTACAGTGGGGTCTTATCTGTTACAGGACAGTGTTTGTAACATGGAATTTTTTTTTCCCTGTAGGTTACTATGGGAATACTTTTCTGTCCCTAAATGTCGTTCAGGTTCATAAAACATATTAAAAAAAAAAACAAAAACAAACAAAAAAAAAAAAAAACACTCACCTCTGCTCATGATGTGGTTTTGGGTAGGTCCAGATTTCAGTCAGTTGCTATAAATAGTTTTCTTCTTCCACATTATACCAATGTCTTGAAGTGTTTCTTGGCATTGTCATTGAACAGATATGCCACTCTCTTAACCCCAGGTTGAATGCACCGTCACTGCTTGGTTGTAGTTTGAATTTCTTCAGGTCTTTGCAAGTTGTAACCAACATCTGGCTGTTTGTGTTTCGTTCGTTTTTTCTGAAAGAAGCTTCTCACTAGAATTCCTAATGTACCTGGGTAAATACGTGTTATTGCAACCACATTAGTAGAAAACAACAGATTTTCAAAATGTGCCAAACTATGCACACAGCCTTTCATCAAGCAACTATGCTGATAACAATCCTGCAATTAAACAAAGTCGCCATTTTGATATGCATTCTTTTGTTGTATTCCAAGTTCCAATGATTTTCTTAAACAAATCGTGATATTTTTTGCCTTCAACTTATTTTCAAATATATGTTTGTTAAATTTGTCACCAGTGGAAAAAATGCAGTGAAATTTCTGCCGGAATAGATAATTTTGTCATAAAATATCTGAAGGGATCAGCGAGGAGATGCGTTTAGTAGATAGTTGGTATTGCGGAGATCTGCATGATGCCAGGTGTCTATCTCCAATATTTACTTAAGTTAAAATAGATTATTGACTAGCATAAGATTACATAAAGGTTTAGTGAAGAATGCAAGTATTTTATTCTTTAATTCATCATTTAATCCTTATTTAATAGTTTAACTTTGCTTTTAAAATTGTTAATTTTTTTTTCCATATGTTAATAATGTCTGCTGACTTACAATAAATATAGATAATTTGGGAATCTTTCTAAAAAGATTGGTGAAAACTACCAACTTTCACTCGATAGGTAGCTATTCTTTATTCATCTGTAAAAAATCAAAAAATTGGGCCAAGATGGTTGTGTTAATACTCAAGTACCTATTCCTGTTCAAAGAGAACTTACAGATCTTCAATGAAGAAGATATTATGTTTCTGTAGTAAAAGGGTAGATAAAAGCTGGCCCACTGGCCAAGTGTAGCTTTTCTGTTTGCTTAGTCTGGCCTGTTATGACATTCTCTGCAATGACAATTTCTTCTGTGACCTACCTAGTTTTTATGCAAATTGCCAAGATCAACAGCATGAGTGTGCTTGTTCCTACTGTGTATGTGCATCCATATACATCACTGTACCAGTGATCAACCTAAGTTGAGAACACATTGTTTAAAAGCATGGGCATCTACAGAAGAATATAATGCTATCATTCCTAGTAGCTTTAATTTAAAAATTAAACAATAAAATTCAAGTATTGCTGAGATACAAAAAGGGGGAGAGCTTAGAATATTTTACCCTTAGATTTTAATTTGAAAATGAAACAGTGTACCCATCAGTCATTTAGGTACATGCCAATTGTTCATTAAGACCAATAGTAACAGATCCCATATTTGACATATTTGTAATTTTTTAAAAATTTTATTTGGAAGAAGTGTTGCCAAATTATATTTCTAAATCTAGTTTTCATAATGTCAAAAGTTTCAAAATTTTTAATTTAAGACATATTTTGGTACTTCCTTAGATTGAATTGCTAATCGACTGAGATATCTTGCTGAAATCTCATCACGTGTTCTTATACCTTGTTACATCTCGGTTAATTAGCAATTAAATTTTGGGGTGCCACTATAATAAGGAAGTACACATTTTTCAATCATACTATATATAATGTATTCATTCTGCATGTCATTAGTATGTTTTTCCTACTGCCAATAACTTGTCTTCAGTAATCCTTCTGATTTACATTAATCCACAGTCACATAAATGCACAAAAGCGATAACATTCAAATTAAAACCGAGTAAGAAATGAAAACCTTTTAAATTTTCTCTTTTATTTTTTTAAACAATTTCTTTTTTCCCGGACTCGCATTTCTTCTGTTCAAATAATATCTTCAAGGTTAGTCACTTGTTTGTGACAGTTTATTCATAAGAAAGGAGTTAGCTGAGGCTTTTAATCTTATAAATATGACACTAGCAAAATTAGAATTGATAGATCTGAGCATCACCAAGCGGCTCAAGTATGTTAACAGGTATATCCATTCCAATATGTTTCTATAAAACTATCTACAGTGACGAAAAGGGAAATGATCGCACATTTTACTGTAGGTATGGTTTGTGAGATGCCACTCACAGTATTGTCAAGAAGATAATCTTGACTAACCTCAGCCTTCAAAAGTGTCAGGTGTAGAATTTGCCAGGGAAGCGTTTCCCTTCACAGCAGTTCATCTCTAGCCTGGGGTCTCCTGCTGTAAACTGGATTAGCTGTCACAAAACCTTTTTTTAATTGAAATTTTTATGTTATGTTACTTCATTTTCCTTCATATTGTACATTTTGTTGATGATTATAAATTATATACTTTTATTGCAATGGATAGTGAGATCTTTAATATGTTTATGGTTTTTCTATATTTTATTATGTAATGTCTTAGGCTAGAATTTTTACATCAACTTGTATCATTTTTGCCATGCCTCTTTTTATGATTTTAAGTCAATTAAAATTGCTAAATATGATTTACAGTTATTTCAGTTTGATTTTATATATTTTTATGTCTATTTCATATTTTTTTATTTTATATCTCTGTAAATACTGCTGTAGGATGCTTTCATTGATAAAATATTACTGTGTAAATAATATAGTACATATATGTATACATTCATATAACAACAGTATTGCAGCATCTTGCATAGGTACATTTAAGCAGTTTACGTATTTGATTTACATAAAAATCGAAGAAACCTTGAAGACCAGGTTACTGTCTCTGTTCATATTAATGCATTTGTATTTCACTAATGACAAGAAGATAAATATTTGATGTATTCTCAAGTATTTGTTAAGGGCTTAGTTATAAAAATTTTGAGTATCATGGATCATTAGGGTTTTAAATTAATGAATGGTAGAAAGATTATGTTGTCTTGTTTTAAATTTCCGTAAAATGAAGCTGTGAGCAGTTCTAGTTCAGCAGATTGTAAGCGTATGTTCGTATCTACTAAATACAGTAAATCTTTATAAGCTCCACAGTCTGTTACAGGCCAAGGCTATATCTTCAAGCTTCCTCCACCTGACCCCATTCGATACAATAGCCCTCCACTGGTTAACGTTAGTTAACTTTAAATCTTCCTCATCAGTTATCCATGTAGTGGGTGGTCTTCCTCTTCGTCTTACTCCCTCAGTTCTCAAAAAGGTTAACTCTTTGGATGAAAATGCATCGTCACATCTAAACACATGGCCCAGCCGTCTGATGCGAGATGCATTTACAATTTTCAAAGTATTAGTTTCACCATATTTCCTATATTTTCCATATAGTTCCTGATTATAGAAAATTTTCCACACGCCATTTTGTTGTACCGGTCTAAAAATCATTTTTAGGATTTTTCTTTCAAAAGGTGATATCAGGTCTTTCTCTGCTCTGTTAAGTATCCAACGTTCACTTCCGTAAAGGGCAGCAGGACTTATTAAAGTTTTATATTAATTAGGTTTTATGTTTGATTAGTTTGAATTTAAGTTGTTTTTTAAGGCCGTAGTAACATCTGTTAGCCATAAATATATACAGTAAATCATCATTTAATTTATCTGTAAAGTCAAGAAATTCATTGCTCCATTGTACATATTATTTCATTTTCATTAAATAATTTAAAGCTTAATTATATTGTCATAAAATAGTAATATATGAATTTAACAGACTGATTCGGTAATAACAATTTTTAAATATTGTTTAATTGATTTTCATATTCTCGAGTAAACTAGGGAGCAAAATTTCAAAACAGGTTAAAAAAAAAAAAAAAGAGTAGGGCAGTAAACTCTCAACCTGTGAAAAATGTATAGAGAGTAATGAGTTATTTGATTATTATTAAAAGTTTTGAAAGCCTGTTGTACACATGTGTATGGCTGTGTGAAAATTTATAAATTAAAAGAGTTATTTTAATATTAGGCTTGGTGGTACTGCTGGTGCTATTGCAACCTGTCCTTTAGAAGTAGTTAAGACTAGACTGCAGTCATCTGTTGCAACTTTTGGACCATATAGTCAAGTTTCATCATCAGTCTCTTTACCCAGATTCGAATTTTGCAACTGTGAATCCTATGAGCGATTTTCGCCAGTGATATCGCCTAATGTTTCTGCTAGGCAACACCAGTCATTTGGCATATGGAGGTGTCTTAAGTAAGTCAAAATAATAATTAATTTTTTTTTAATAATTTTTCTACAATAATATTTTATTTAATAAAGTGTGTAACATTTTTCTTAGAGTTTTATGTCTTGTATTTTTGTCTTTAACCCCAGTTGTCATCTTTATACCAAATAAAACTATTTTTGCAAACAAGTTTATAATATGAATGTTATAAACCTAGTCTTTTGCAAGAAAGCTGTTGAACTATTATATAAAAAAATTAATGTTTCTTCATGTAAGAATATAATCTTTTTTACAGTTTATGTTTTAGAGTTAATTGAATGTAATCTACTTTTGAATTAATCTAGAGATGATTTTTTAGATGGATATTATACTTCATTAGAGAGTATGGAAGTTTTTTTGTAAAGTCTCCTGTAATCTTTTCATATCTTGTTCTCTTTTTCGCCATCTTACACACTGTAAACTTAGCCTACTCAAAAATAATTCAGGTTCTGATAACTTGGTTTCTGTCACTGTTTAAAGTTTTAAAACTAAAAATTGTATTATACATTTAATTTTTTTTTTTTTTTGTATTTTTACATGGCACAGATGGGTCCCCTTTTTAATTTGTGATCTATCGAAGACAGTATTATCTAGCATTATTTTAAAAACTAGCTTGTTATAAAAAGTAGCCAAACAGTGGTTTAGGTTCAAAGAAAGAATGGTAGATCTAATTGATTAGGAATTTGATTAGAACTAACAAATGAAATTGTAATGCAAATGTTAAAAACTCACTCCTCCTCAACAGAAACTTTTGTACAATTTTTTAGGTACTTTTAATAATAATATTAATAAAGTTATGGCAGATACTTATAGTATTGTTTTTTAATTGCTTTTTTCTGTTATGATTTGAATTATTTTAGCCTTTCTATTGCATTGATTTTGCTGGTTTTCGTGGTTCTGTTTTCGTGGTTCTGTTTTCGTGTAAAAGACATTTTTGTGTTTATGTTATAGTTTGTGGTTTATTTTATTTTCTTCATAGTGTTCCCATTTTTCATGCAAACAGAATAGTCATTTTTGAATCTTTCCTCACATTTCATTGATTATTCATGCTATTATAATGTCTTTTTTTTATTCTTGCTTTCATGATGGTACTTTTAATGTCTCTCCCCCCCTCAATTTTTTGACCATAACATCATAACTCTTTACTACATTAGTATTGTTATGCTAGAAAAGTACTGTTTGATTTTTAAATATACCAAGTTATTATTTACATCTTATCTGATAAAATGGTTACTTATTTTGTTACAATTAACTGATGCAGTTACGTGTTGCTCAACGCTAAGATTCTGTAGGGTGAACTTGCAGTGCATACAGAACTATAAAATTTCCATTTTTTTTTTAACAAAACCATACAAAAAAAGTACAGAAAATCTGAATTTAAAAAAAAAAAATGTTTACTTAGTAGTTATTTTCAGTTGTTCCAGTTATAATGAGCTGTGTGCACTTTTCATAGTTCTCCTATCTTTAAATAAATAATGAAGCTTTCCTGCTTAAAATGTTCTAAAAATTCATGTCACTTTTTTGTTACTTTTAATCTAATGAATACCCATAATATTGAATGTAAAAGCTGTGAAGGATTATTATGGCAGTAATGTGTATTTAATATAGTTAACAACATAAATAATGCTGATAACTTAATGCAGATTTTATCGATGTTACGGTAGAAATTTTCTATTTCAGGTTCTGATAAAAAATTAAGTTTTTAAAATATTTTTGCAATTGCTAATTAAATATAAATAAATAAATGTTAACAGCTGAATATAAATGAAATAAACAATTTCTTAAATTATAAATTGTTCTTATTTTGGATGTTAATTAAACTTAAAATTTGAAAATGAACTATCAGAAATTGGGTTTCTCTTTGACTTACAGAGGTGATTTTCTGAAACATATCTTTACGTTTTGATATATTCTTTTCTTTGCGGTGTAAAATATTTTTTTGGCAGCATATACTTATTTAAAAACCAAATTTATTAATCTGGTGTATTAAATAAACTGTCCATGCATTTTTGCATGATAGGTGTTCATTTTTGTTCTACTAACCTTTGTGTGCTTTGATTTTTGTGAATGATTTTTTTAATAAATTCCTTTATTTCTAAAAAAATGGCACTGGTATTCAGCAGCATCATGTACTTCCATTTCAGCAATAGCTGATTTTAATGTTCTTTCTATCATATTTCTGTTGCATTATATATCCATCTCTATATTAAAAATAAATACATCTAATATCTCCTCACCTTGTTCTATTCCATTAGCATATTCTAGCAGCGAACGTAAATAAAGGTTTACTTATGATATTCTTATATATACGTTTTTGGAAAAACAAAGCCAGAATATTTTGCTAATTTATCTGTTGCTGCGTTTGGAAAACCTAAAGCATATTGGAGCAATCTTTTTTAGCTGACATATATCATTGAATATTTTTCTGTTATTGTAAGATTAGGTTAATGCAGGAGTTCCTAACCCTATGCCTGTGGGCACCATGGTGCCCGTCAATCATGTAACGTGTTCCCGCTGCTGTGTGATAAATCACAATAAAAATGTTTTAGTTTTCAATAAAATTCTCTATAAATGTTTTTTCTTTTTTAATGAAATAGAAATTCCATCCGACACAGATACCAGCACAAAGCAAAATGTGACAGATGTCTCTCTCTCTCCCCCTCCTTCCCCCCGCATGTAATTATAAACTCGGTCCATCTATAAATTCACCATGGAAAAGTAAATGGTGCCCACCATCCAACAGATATCCTAGAATGTGTTCTTAGGGACAAAATGATCGGGGACCCCTGGGTTAATGTATTTTCAGTTTCATCAGCTTTTTTATTTTTTATGTTCTTAATGTTTTGTAAGGGCTTTTGTGTGCATGATTGATGTATACTTAAGTATTTTAACTATTAGAATTGTTAAAATAATACTCATAATTGCATTTTATAATTTTTTCCAGTTACTCAATAAATTTAAGTTTTCCTTCTAGGGTAAGCCTGAGTTATTATATAAACTAATTTTATGCATGCTTAAAATAAAAGATGTTTGCTTATGTAGTAGTTATTATTTAATGCATAACAATCAGCCATCTTACTTTTTTTCTGTTTTTAAATAAAAGCTCAAGCAGCATCTGTTTGATTAGCAATCAAGAGTTCTATGTAGTGCATTAGTTAATTTTGCACATTGCAAATCAACCAGTGACTGACTTGATTTTTTTTAAAACATATTTTATAAGTTAAACAGTACAGTCATATCCTTTTTAAAAAAGTGCTGACTTTAGGCATATGCAGAATCTTTAACATTTTATCACTTTAGTTCTATTAGTATTATCACTTGATTAAATTTAACTTATTAGTGGTATATGAAACTGGGAATCTTCTGTAAAATTCTTGCAGAACCTAAGGTTAGCACATGAGTAAGTCTGAAAATACAGTTGAACTCGGTTATAACATCACAGATTGTTAGACTCTCACGGAGAACATATAGTTATGTGCATATAGTTACATATAGATCAATGTTAAATATGTGTTGAGTACTAGTTTCCAGTTTTATCTTGCTTTTATCTTATTGTATTGAAAAAAGTCTAGATGGTCAGAAAGTTATTATAAAATAAGAATAAAATAAACATGTATATTTAGAAGAACTGAGGAGGGTGGACATAATAATTTTGTGTTATAACATATATTAAATGCATAGAAAATTATAGTGAAAGAACTTCAGTTTTTGGAATTTAGGCTTACCATGTTGTTCATTTTGGAATTTGCTTTTTAAATTACCCCATTCATGTATTTTTCTATTCTAACTAATAGTGAAATTCTTTATAGTTTGTCTCATTTTGCTTAGGTTTTTTCAAAAAAAATCATGTAGGTATTAAACATAATTTTAGTAGAATGAAAACTTCAAAATTTTGTTATGACCAGTAGGTTAAACATCTTGAATTTATATTGTTATGGTGTTGTTATAATCGAGATCAACTGTAAGTTAGCGTTGCAAAATGCATGATTTTCAAGCATTTAAGAGACATGAAAAGATCCTAAAATATGATGTGCATGTCCTGTTATCTGTGTTTGTTTGAATCAGGTGGGAGATGTTAACAAAGCGTCTCCAGGCCGTCTTGCGGGGAATGGATCAAACATTCTTTATAATTGCCTTTAATATTTCTGCAAAAATTGGTAAGTTTCTCTGATGGTAGGTTCTTCCTCATGAACTCATTTAGTATTGGGGCTGTTATAGCCTAAAACATTCCATGAATGATAAATTTTTGAAGTCAGTCTAAGTAAAAATTCTTAACAGTAGTATAAAAATATTGTAATTATCTTTTAATATCCATTTTGAATTATTAGGTTGTGTTAAAGTAATTTTTTTACATAATGAAAAAGTTGCATTATATGATTTTATTTAATCAAATGTATCAAATGCATTATTAGTTAGGTCAGTATTATATAATTTTTTAGAAGCCTTTTAGTGTTCATATTTCAACATGTTTGAGTAGAACACAAACACACCCTTGTGTATTTTGTACCATCAGAGATAGATTTGCATAGAAAACAAGCAGGGGATATATATTTGGTAACTATGAATGATCAATCAAAATTTTTTGCAACAAAATTTTCATGTAAAATATGTATTGTTGCGTGCTTACGGATTCATAATAGATTGAACGCACAAGTCCAATAATATGTTCATAAAATTTATTTTTACCCAAATAAATATTTCAGGACTCTGGAATTTTCTACAGAAATATTTGTGCAAGTGTTCACGGTATTACACAGTGTAATTAGTAGTTACACTTGAAACTACTAAGAATATTAAACACAATGCAATACAAAGCGTATCTAAAGAGGAATTTACAAAATGTCAGATACCCATTTACACAATGTTAAGTGTATTCTTACTTTTCTGGCATAGCTTTCTCTTTAAATTTATTTCACGTTACACAGAAAAATACAGCAATTTTGTATGTATAGTTGCACCGAAGTCATCTATGTACAAAATTCGTAATAAC